GTCTCCTTCTCCTTATAGTCACATGTTCCTCTTCCTGTTTTTTACTGCAGCCTTTGATCCGAACGTCGCCCTGCTGCCTCAGCACCAATAATCACCCCGAGCCTTTTAAAACAATGTCACGTAAACTCAAACTGAATTTGCTTTCGGCTCCGATGAACCCTGATATCCCATAATTCAAGAACTCCAAGAGCTGCTCACAGCTGGAAATGATGAAAATAAATTGCGGACCGTGATGAGAATGAGCAGAATCGTCTTATTTGCTCTGTTTAATTTTCTAACCGGAGAAATCCCGCGCGTTTCAAAGTAAAAGTAGAGTTTCACACACATATGGAGAGGAATTAACAGTATTAAAGACTGAAAACACGGCTCGTCCCTTCAGTTTTATTCGTCTCTACAAAATAGAATTTGTTGGGGTCTTTTTTTTAGCAGCAGATTAATTTTAGAGATTTCAATTCAGCCTTTTACACGAGGCTCAGTGGATGGTTGTTGCTGCTGATGCAACACAATTAGATTAGTGAAACCCAACAGCAGCATCTCTTTCTGAACACAATGGTCAGTCTGTGTTGTCTTCAGGTCTCTGGATTACTCAGGATGAAGCTCAGAGTCAGGCGCGGTTCAGAAAACTGGAGACCGGATCCCTGTAACTGGGAAAAGACTGACTGGGTGGTCAAACATCTGTAAACTACCTCCACCCACAAGCAGTTTTGTGGAGGTTTAAACTGTTACGAAACAGAGACTCGCAGGCCGCTGTAGCATTAGCAACACCTGCCTGATGTCACTGCAGTCTTATCTCACACGCACTGCAATGCAGAATTATATCTTCTGTGAAAGGTTGTCCTCACTTGTCTGCAGGCCGTGAACACCTTTGGGTGCTTTACATAAGACTGGTTATAAGTGCTGATGCTTTAAAGACAAAGACAATTCCGGGGAAATGACTTTAACTGCAGTGAACTGGCAACTGAGGGGCTGAAAAAGGAAGTGAACACTAAAGGATGCCCATAAACTCCCAGGGTTTAAAAATCCAGCTTTACAGTGAAAAATACAAACATTTATTACCTGGTGCAAATAAAACATTTAAAAAAATGTTTTTTTATATATCCAGTCCATTTCTGAAGTGTGCTGCAGTTGCAGTTGCACCCTAAGCTGTAAGATTTCTTACGTCTGGATTGGCTTTGGGCAGTTCTGCTATCAGATGCTCAGATGCATGAAGGCTCCCTGGCAGACATTTTGAGACCATCTGAGAACATTTTGTAGTCTTCGTTTAAATAAATTACCCACAGTTCAAAGAGCTGTGGGCTTCACGGGGTTAATTCTTTGTCCTGAACTGTGGTGACTACACAGGTTTGGACCTAAATGCTGGCCACAGGAAAAAAGAAGTTCTAACAATGAAAGGCAAGTCTTTATTGAGGCCGATAACAAAGTCTAAAAATCAGAACCCAGCAGAAATCCAAAACACAGAAGGGCACTGAGAGCAGAACACTGGGAAGCAACAACAAACACTGACAATGGACAAAGAGAAGAAAAGGCTATATATACAGAGACTGGACGACAGGACACAGGTGGGGAATGAGGCACAGCTTAACAGGATTAACACAGACAAGAACAATCAGGGAAGCTGCAGACAGGAACTAAAACTAAAGCAGGGGCCAGAAAACAAAGCTAGAAGAGAGACGGAGTATAAAAAAGAAAGTTAACAGATGGAGGAATGACACACAAACTCAAAGTAGGAACCGAGGGTTAGTACAAACAGCAAGGTCATCTAAACGTGCGCCCAAAACTCCACAAACAACTAAACAGGAACCAGAACTCAAATAATACAACACGACTAATGCTCAGAATCACTGGTGTGACAATGAGATCACAGCAGGAGTGAAAAACTCCAGAAACACTCATCAGAAAGCACTAGAATAACTGTAAAACTCAGTAACTCAGTAAAACTGTGCTTTGTATTCAGTTTAAATCAAACTCTGGTTTGTTTTCGCCCTTTGGTGCAGTTTGTTGTGCAGATCTGAGCTCAGCAGTGACACTCAGGCGCGCTCCAAAACAGCCACACCGACTCCCTTAGAGGACGCCGTCTCCTTCCGGCTCCAAATGATTTGCAGAGCCGTTTGTTTATGGTGAGAACGAGATCCCGCCTCAGTGTGACGACTAACAGGTGTAAGCTGCAGGTTTGAGCTAAACGCATTCAGGCGTGCTTTGCACTCGGTACCAGGGTTACGCCTAAAACCTGCTCAGATAAATATTAATGTTAGGAGTAAATTCTCCACATTATCCGTTAGTTAGTGGGGGAGGGGCCAGTTAAGAGATTTGATTGGGCATCCGGTGTGCAGCATCCCTTCAAATCGGCCCATTAGTCCAAAACTGCGCCTGCCCACCGGGAAAATGCCAGGTAAGCGAGATTACTTGTTCAACTCTGAGCATCATTATGTGGTTTGCAGTGACACATTCTGGTTTGCTTGGAGTTTTCTCTGTGTGAAAAGAAATCAAACCACAGGAAAAAGCTACAAATTTAAAAACTCATCAGCTGATATGCACCAGAATAACCGAACTATACATGGGAAACGCTCTAATCAAGCACAGAGGCGGCTCCGGCTCAGGAGGGTCAATCCCAACTAGGGATGGGTACCGGTATCCGGTGCCATTATGGGACCGGTTCTGACATAAACGGTAGTAACCAGACCGAAAAGCAGCGCACATTTCGGTGCTTTTTTCCCCCTGAGCTGTGATACACTTTGGATTCTAGCCAATCATTTTACCTTTCCAAGGATAGTAGGCGGGCAGGTGTGGTGCCTGTTATCGACCCGGAGTTAGCAACATCCCCCAAAAACCCGAAGAGGAGAGTCCTGGCCCCTAGTCCTGCCAGTGTAGCAGAAATGATGAGGATGATGATGCAGCAGCAGCCGTTCTTCTCTGTGTGAGTAGCTTCATGTTGTTCGTGTGTAATTTACGTTGAGTAGGCTAACCACGTTATTACATTAACGCATGTAAGGTGAACTAGCAAACATCATCATAGTTACATGCGGCTTTCTTCTTGTTTGATGGCAGATACTCCCTTCACCAAAAAGGCTAAAATGACCAAAGAAAAAGTGGAAAACAGTTAAACATGAGAGGTTTTTGGACAAAGTTTGTGTTTTTTCCATTGTTTAAGCACTGCTTCCAGCCAAGAGTGATACCATATATGTCCCATAGCTGCAGAAAAGGCTAACGTTGTTATCTTTTTACAAAAAAACAGCTGAACATGAGAGGTTTTTGGACCAATTTTGTGTTCTCCATTCTTTAAGCACCGGTTCGAGCACCGTTTAAGCACCGGCACCGTTTCAAAAGTACCGGTTTGGTACTGGTATCGGATAAAACCTAAACGATACCCATCCCTAATCCCAACCGGCTCCAGTCTGCAAAAGTATCCTTGGGCAAGATGCTAAACCCAGAGTTGCATACATCAGACTGTGAATGTGTTTGAATGTTAGATAGAAAGCACCTTGAATGCTCAAGAAGAGTAGAAAAGTGCTATAAAAGAAGCAGTGCATTCGCCATTTACAAACATAGACAGGATCATCACTCAGGTCTGTGAGGCTGTGGTGCTTAGGGAGAGCATTGTGCTTTGGCCATAATAATGGGGTCCTCCTAAGATCTGTGTCTCTCAGATGCTGTGGTCTGATTATGATACTATCCATGGTTCAAGTTGTTTTTTTCAGTTAACAACTGATACATTTTGACTTAAGGAGAAGCAAATGGACAGATGGATGTTTGGAGCTTTTGACTTGGTTAAAACTGCTGCTGTATGAAACAATGATCACTATTGAAGTGTTGTTTTACTTTGATTCATGTCCATATTTGGTGTAACTGCTGGGGTGCTTACTCCTATCATTCACAAAGACAAGAAAAAAACAACACCCATCCATTTCTCCAACTTCTTCTCCGAAACTGGGTGAGGGGTGGGTTACACCAGTGCTAACACACAGAAAAGACAATTCACATTCACGCCTATGACCAGTTTAGAAAAACCAGTTAAACCGACATGGAATGAAGAACACCCAGGACACCAATCCAGGACACACTACTGCGCGTCATCATAATGGCGATACGAAGGCGTGAATTTCTGTTACGCAGTAAAGATCTGCAGCTGTGCTCTGTCATCGCCGTTTTACATGATTAGCCAACCGTTTCTGTTCTGTTTTTAAACCAAATTCAAAGTATTAAGTTGCTGCATTTCCTGCAATCGCATATATTTCCTGATGGCATCAACATAACGATGAGTCAAAAAGATGAAAAATGTAACACCGTAAATGGTTCATGATCAGTGAAGCCACTGTCGTCCTACTCCCCGGAGTGATGACACATTCACAGCTCAAAACCACAAGTTACTCAATCAAAAAAAGCTGAATCACTCTCAGCTAAGCAGGTTATGTGTTAGCCTGCTGTAGCTGCAGGCTAACTGTATTTACACCATATTTAAAGTAGTTCAGTTACAGAAAACAGAGATGCTGCATTTAGAGTTTAGTTTGATGCTCACACAAAGAAAAGTCAGCAGAGATAAAGATATATTTTTAGTGAGTTCTCTAAAGCTGGATGAAAATCTTTATTTCTTAATGCTGTGCTTTAAATCAAACACTCTCACACTTGGTCTGCTCCTGATCCAAACAATTACTTGTAGCCTGGACTCACCAATATAGCATAATGGTGATGTTGAGTCCAGTTCCATGCCCTAAAAACATGACTTCATACTATTTTACTCTAATCTGCTGATATATATCTAATATAACCATGAGTATAGACGTCTCTGCTTATTTGTGATGAATAAGCAAAAACAGTGATTAAATGTACTGACATTGGACAGAAAATTAGACATTTATAGATGTGTCTGCTTTTATATTCTGTATCTGCACTCGAGGGGGAAAAGGTGATATCAGATACAATATCTGACATTTATTGGATAAACGTGCTGCATTACCTTCCCTTCCTTTGTTTATGCTTATTTGGGATGACTTGTAGGGTCTTACCAGAGGCATCATGGCCGAGGCGCTGGGTGAAACCTGTCCTCTGAAGTGGTTGTGAAGCTCCACCAGCATCTCCTCCTGCTCCTCGTTCAGAAAGCTCCAGGCTCCAGGAACCACCAAAGCCCCCAGCAGCAGCCATACCCAGAGAGGAGCTCTCCTCAGTGGGCTGCAGCGGCCGCTGGAACCTGTCCTCTCTCTGGAGCTGCATGAAGCTCCATCCTGGGTGGTCCATGGGGTCATGGTCCCTCTCTGGGTACTGACCCCCTGGAGCGCTGAGAGTCCCTGCAGGTGCATGAGGAGAAATAGAGTCCTGGGGAATATTCTCAAGTGGTCCAGAGTCCAGCGAAGAGTCTGCGTGTCAGACAGATCAACAACTGAGTGTGTACAAAAGGCCGCTTGTCTTAGTGTGAGTCTGTGTGCCTGTTTAAAAGTGTGTGCGTTCCCTCCTCAGTGCCTCTCACTCTCAGCTCTGCTGATCTTTGTGTTGCTGACCCGGCTTTAAGAGAAATAGGATCCTCCCCTACTCACACTCACACAGACTTCCCTGTCTCTGTGAGTACTCTCAGCATCCTCGAAACCCAAACCCACTAAAATGAAGTATCCCAAAAACTATTTTACAAAGTGAAGAACGGCCGAATTACCCTCACACACACACACACACACACACACACACACACACACACACACACACACACACACACTGCAGAGTTCACATTTCACACACTGCACCGACTGGTACGCACAAAATAACTCCCCACTCCACGCTCCACCCGTGCTCACTTTCCATTTTCTCCATGTCAGCGTGACTCTCTGATCCTCAGTTTTCTGTTTCTTTCTCTCGTCAGTTTTTTCTCCTTTTCATGTTTTTTAAATGAACTTATTCTGCCTTTATTTGACTTCTGTCCTCTTTCTCTGAACATTCAACAATCAAACATTTCAAAGTGTCAAAGAAATGAGTCGGTGTGCCTGTGTTCACAAATAACTCTGATTCAACCTTTAGACTACGCTAAAAACCCAGCTTCAGACAGGAGGGATTTTCTACTCTTAGCTCTTTATGATGTCACAGAGAGAACCAATATTTCCCTGTTTATGACCACATGGGCCCCAATAACAGATCAGCACCCCACTCTGAAATGGATGGATGGATTCTCACCTCTAACTGATTAAGAGCTAGGTGAGGTGGTCTGGGCATCTGATCAGACTGCATCTGGGGCAAAATAACATCTTAAGTTCAGGAGAACTTCATGGTAAATATTATGATTTTGATTCATTCCCAAACCCTGTATTACAAAGTGACGATTTCTTGCTACGATCTTCAGTTCAGACTTTATTTTCCAAAAAAGAAACTTTGGTGCAACATGGCGATTTTCTTCACAGCCCAAGTTTAGTTTTTAGGCCCGAGGCAGTTTGTCTGTTTTCACTCAGGCTTAAAAATGAAATTCTTAGTCTCAAGAAAGCAGTGTTTCAGTTTTAATGAATGAAATTCTAGTGTCACTTGGCACTAATTAACTGTGTGATGCACCCAAGTAAACACCAAGGTATTTGAAGGTATTCATTCTCTCCACCTGGGCCCCATTTATGCTGAGAGGGTCAAAGCATCTCTGCTGTTTTTAAGTGACATTGTCTTTGAGTTGATTCATCAAGGTTGCTCTCCTTACACGAGTCAGCTAGGTGCTTACCTTCATACCGACAGGCAGCCTCATCATTATTTGTGTTCAAGTGACTGAGTAGTGAGTCTACTTGACTATGATGATGAGTCTGAAGTATCTGCACAGTCATAGGTGTAAGGGGGATCCAACAGAGGACTCAACACACAACCTTGAGCCACCTGTTGTGCGAACCACCTGTGGTCTGCTAGTCAGGAAACTGAAGACTCGCCTTGAGGGTGGGGGAAGGCAGGCCAAGGTTAGTTTAGTGGCCAGCCTGAAGTGAGCTACTGCATTAAGTGCTGAACTGTAGTCTATAAATAACAGGCTAACATGAACCCTTCTGCTAGTGCCCAAATTGGATAGAGTTGAGTAAGTGGGCTATGGAGTCATCTGTGGATCTGTGGGGACGTATGCAAATTGTAAAGCTCGGGCAAGGAGGATGTGTTTAAGGTTCTGATCTCGCTTTATCTCTGCAAACATCAAGGATCCAGAAGCAATGGTCATTTAAACTGCTGGGAGCTGGACTTTCTTAGGAACTATGTCTGACTGTTTGATGCATGTGGGGATCAGTGTTGGTCAAGTTACTTGAAAAAAGTAATCAGTAACTAATTACTGATTACTTCCCCAAAAAAGTAATCCCGTTACTTTACTGATTACGTATTTTCAAAAGTAATTAATTACTTAGTTACTTAGTTACTTTTTAAAAGCACGATTTACAACCTGAATAGGTGATAAAGCGATAGATCTTTCAGCCCAATTCTACTTTTTCTGCATAATCCATCATACAAAATGTAATCAGATGGAAAAGTCTCTTTTTAAAACTTGTTTTATTAGTTTTAATCTTTTAACTTTATGCATCAAGCAAACATTTAATTATATGCAACATTCTCTGACTGGAAGAAATTAGTTTAACATTTAAAGCTATTTTCTGCACATTCCAGCACATAAAATAAAATATTTTTTGTGTTTACACTCACTCTTTCAAATAGATGCAAGTAAAACACAGCAAAAAATAAATAAAGTCAAAGACTCAGCGGTCCTGTTGCTCTATTTTCACCTGTAAAGCAGGAGTGAGGGTAGGCGGAGGTTTACCCTGGTGCAGGTGTGCCGCGGTCAGTTGAGTTTCTCTGTGAGTTTCCCATTACGTCGTAGCTACTCGGTGCTTGCTTGGAAGTTTAGGGGTTTTTTTCGCTGTAAAAAGAAGTTTTCTTCCCACGCACAACGGACACTAATGTTTTTGTCACTTTTTATGGAATCAAACTCAAAGTAAGGTCAGTACTTCCACGCTTTAAACGCTGCACGCTCATAGGGCTTTGGAGCGTGATGTCACGGGGGTGGGCGTGGAAAGGATTTTGGCCATTTTGGGGGGTCTAAGTAAGGAGCGAAAGCATAGCCATGGTTCGTACTTGCTGTGTGGTCGGCTGCAATGTTCGATCTTACGACCGGCACGGGAATAAGTTTGGATTGTCTTTTTATGCTTTCCCAACCTGGAAGCAACATGAAGGAGCTCATGTATCGGATATTACCAAACGAAGGCGTCTAGCCTGGATAGCAGCCGTGAGACGAGCTGATATCAAGTTCTGTTACGTCTCCAGATATCAGTTGGTGTGCTCAAGACATTTTCATTCCGGTAAGTTCTAAATATGTTCACATCACACTTTATAGCTGAATAATATCATCGTTGGTGGTCTCGGAAGTTATAGAAATTGCGATCAAACATCGAATGGAGTGACTTGATTGGTTGATGTAAAGACAATAAATGAAATGAGACAGGAAGGCAGTGTTGGGACTAACGCGTTATTAAGTAACGCGTTACAGTAACTACGTTATTATTGTGGTAACGAGCACGGTAACTAGTTATTATGCCAAAATCAGGAACGCGTTAGTCGTTACTGGGTGTTAGATTTGTATTGTTGATTGTCATTTATGCTTAGAAATATTTACTTATATATGCTTAGAGTTTTGTAATTAGTTGTAGATTGGTAGAGGTTTTGATCCTTGATAGTCTGCAAACTTTGTGTGTATTAGACAGCACTTTGGGAGCATGAGAGGTCATACCGTGTCTTATTGTTTTATGGTAGGATTAACGTAGCTACGTCTGTTCTAGTCTAAGTGCTCTTTGTTTAGATGAACTGCAGGACTTCCTCACCGTGTTATCTAGGATGAACCATCTAGGGTGAGGGGGAGGCTACCCTCTTCCTGACCAAGGATGTTTGACCCTTTGATCAGCCACACACACACACACACACACACACACACACACACACACACAGACACACACAGGCAAGGTACTCTTTGTTTGTATGTAGACGTCGTATGTTAATGAACCTATGCATATTCATGTAACCTCAATAAAAAGACAGTGTTACGGGAGGACGGACGAGACCAACTGGAGTCAAGCGGTTGTCCGGTTCTCTCCCGTGCACGAGTAACATGAAGAACTTTGCCTATTTGTGTCTTGCTTAGCAGTGTAATTATATTGTCTTCAACGTTCCAGCGGATGGGTTCAAGCTACAAACCTAACACTGGGATTTAGATAGGGTCGTTACTCGTTACTTCGTGTGGTGGCTATCGCGGAGCTTCCACAGATTCAGTAACATTAGCAAGTGGTGGAGGCCAGCAGGTGGATGAGAGAAAGCAACACGTTCTCGGGCTGGAGAAAGGGGACGCAGAAGGAAAAGAGACCCGAGGCGGCCGCCGGTCCGAGTGTGAACTGAACTTCAGGTAAGAAGTTATGACCTGCAGTCTCTCTGGGTCAGATATAAACCAAGTCAACCCGTTCTCACTCCCAAAGCGTAACATTTTACGCTAGGTGACAAATCGTCACCATATTACGTTTTCGGCTACCCACCACGTTCCTAAATGACGACCTCGGAAAAAGAGGAAATATGAGAACCGTCTGGACTGAACCTACACATGTTCGCTCTTTTTCTTCAAATCGCTTAGAAACACGCTATTTAACATCATTAAAGTCCTGGTTAAGGTCAGGAATAAGGTTATGGTCAGGGCTAGGGATAAGGTTAGGTTTAGGGCTGGAATACAGGGCTGGAACGTCTATTACCGCGGGTGTCAGGTTTCAGTTAACGGACTCAGGCGCAGACCGGGACTCCTTACAGGATTTACAGATTTTATTTACACAACAACACCAGGTGATGCTATTTACAAAGTGCTGGAGGGAGGGGAGGGGGGTCCAGGGTTCCGGGGTATGTGAGGGAAAAGACGGGAATCTGACGTCCTCCAAAGGCTCTCTCTCTTCACTCCCCACACTGGGGAAACACCATCCACTCACTCGTCCACGGGATGACAGGCAGGCAGGGAAAGGTCCGGGATAGATCTGTACACAGAGATTATAGTTAGAGGCGAACAGACGGAACGAACTCACAGATCCTTATTTACAATCTACTGAGCGACTGACGCTGATAACTCAACGATCCAGCGACGAGTGACACAGTGCTGCTGTCTTAAATCGGCCTTGTGATTATCCCGATCGGCAGCAGGTGCGTGGGCCAGGGGCGGGAGCCCATAATGAGCATCGCCCCGGCAGGAGAGAGAGAGAGAGAGAGAGAGAGAGAGAGAGAGAGAGAGAGAGAGAGAGAGAGAGAGAAAACATGTTGCCTAATACAGAATCAGCTGGTGAGGCACAGGGACCATGACAGCGGGAGCGTCATTGCACTGGATTCCAGCCATAACCCACCGCGTACCATAAGAACGCCGAAGGTCTCCTTTCGCGTTCCTCAGGAACGCCGCGGGACGTGACAAAACGTCGACATGTTACGCCTCGGGAGTGAGAACGCTCTGACCAAGTGTAGGTGGAGTTTATTTTCGTTATGCTGACTTTTTCCGTACTGCGTGCTAGCTAGCATGACGGAGTTTCTATACAGCTGGGTGGTGCT